CATATAGAATAATTATGTTGTGATAGAAGTGGTCTTGTTAACGAACTTGAACTGGTCATTATTCTTTTAAACTTCATTCAATGACATGGGTCCAGTTTTATGCAGTTCAATGGGGAACAAATACCTGTTTTCTTTAAATGAAAAATAAGTTTTCATGTGATCTTAATTATCGTAGCGAATTTTATTTATTTCATTCTCAGAAGGTGTTTGCTAAATGCTGTATTAATGGATATACAGTTAAAAAGCGAACGTTTGCATTTACAAATCAGTCACTGTAGAGTCTTATCACTAATACGCAGATAAATCCCTGCATTGAACTGAAATACATTTGATGTGGCTAATAGAGAATGCGATGAACCTTTTATGAATGTATGATAAAACAAATCATGCAAACTAAATAATGGTATCTCTAGAGACCAATTAGTTTCTTCAACAAATAGTCCAGTTCCCATGCTGACTGATGATAGTATCTCTATATCTTTCAGGTACTTAGTGTCGTGGGTTAAGGATGTACTTTTCTCTTGTGCATGATAAAAGGCCTAAAGCAATGTCACCCGATTTCATGGGCTGTGAGACCCTCTAATATAGCTTGTGATCATAAGAACCAAAAATTTAAAAATTAGTCTGAGAGGAGCTGCGGTGCTTCCTGAAAAGTGTTATTTCTTCAGTTTTTATGTCCATAAGCAAGTAACACTGCTGGGATCACTGGTCTAAAGCACTTACCTGAGGGCCGTTGCCCCTCTGCTACTTCTGCACCTTTGGGCCCCAATAACATTACATATTATTATACAGGTTACTAATTGAATTTTCTAAGGGGAGAGTGGAGTTTAATTCCAATAGTTTATATTTCACTACAGCAAATTCAAAATAAAATGTGTAACTGGCTAAGCAAATCAGATTACCAAGCTGTATAGCTATTGATTAATTTGGAAATCCTGCATGTTTCTTTCCTCTGGGTAGACAACTTCAGATAGTAAGACAAAAAGTATTATAGAAGAAATGCTGTATTACAAGTGACCTTGTTAGCCACTTGTTTGAGTAACTGAAAACAAATTAGCAGTATGTTTCTGTGCTTTTATATATAGCAAAATTAAACTGAAGAAACCCACTGAATTAGCTTGATTTACTTAGTTTCAAACTGCAATTGGCCTAAACATGCATGTCTTGTTGATACTAGAGATTAATATTAATCTAATACTTTATATTAACATGGGGGAAATACATATTTATACTGAGTTTTTCTCACAATATTTGCTCCACTTACTCAGTGAGTCTGCAAATACTCTTAGATAACAAAAAGCTGTGTGTTTGCCCTTTATTAAAGACTTCAAAAAAAGCTATTTAATAAAATGACAAAATATGTAAGCTGCTTTATTTTCTTTTCATGTTTATTTGAAAGAGAAGTCTGTGGACTCAGCTGCTGAGATCTGTTCTACAGAGCTACAGAAAGATATATGTGCTCCAAAAATGGGAGAATCCCATTTCCTTAGAAGAAGCAGCAACATAAGCACAGAACTCTTTCTGTTTACAGTGAAGCCTATAGCCATGCAAAATTTGATAGCACAGGCCCTTCAAGTTGAACATCTTGGGAACAACCCGAGTTCTTTCCTACTAAAAACAACTCAGAACATCAGCTGACCCATACCCATATTTTGGTGGTGTTTATCTCATCTTGCAAGTGTTACAAAATCTCTTTCCTGAGCAGATGATGCATGTGAAGCTGTTGAAAGTCTTCCATTGAGGAGCATGTGTCTCTGACCTAGTAGATAAGTCCTGAAATCCCCTCAGACTCTTCATAGAGGCGGGAGGGGGGCGAACCCAGTGTGGTTAGCAGCAGTTGTGTAAGCAAAGATGGAAAACAGTCTTTCCAGACTCTAGGAAAAAGATGACCCTCACATTTCTTTAGTTTTTTCTTCAGGGGGTTGGCGCAGCTGGCTGGCATAAGTTTACACCTAAGTAGGTACAGTTCAGGCGGTTTTGTTGTTCAGTCATCAAACAAACTTCTCTGAAGATCTTAATTCGCAGTAGTTATCTCCTGAAGAACTGCTTAAAAATTTTGCAGGTTGTAGGTGATTTGTTCATAGGAATGATTCTCCAATGCATCCAGTAGAAGTGTTGCTATTCTTGCAGTGATACTAATATAATGACAAGGCATAGTCAGTCATACCAGCAACCACCTACGCATGCTCTAGAAATACACTGATGAAATTCAATAGACTCCTGATGCATGAGTTTGTGTTGCTCATAGATTGGAGCGGATTTTTTTTTTATTATTTTAGTGACATTCCATTGGAAAAGATTATCCAAAAGTAGTTATTCCAAAACAGTCTGAGTATAGCAGCTTCTGCAAGTCACTGGCCATAGGAAAGTACAGCAGATCTTACCTGGAGAGAACACAATATTGTATTAGCTATAGAGAAAAACAGTTACTGTCATTGTGCCAAACTTCCAAGTTTGTTCTTCTCTGCTGAAAACAATGTAGAGAAAAAGATACCAATCTTTGGCCTGATACTTTCAGGGATATATAAAATACAGAATATTTTTATTCTGCAATTTTCTATTGACATTGACAGAAGGTCAGCAATGTGTTAACTTCTACTTCCCAGTACATTTTAAGACCTCAGAAGATGCTTAGTTTTATAAAATTCTCTGTGTACCCTGCTTCCCTTGAATTCAGCAGAATCTTTGTATTCTTGTAAAGCAACAACAGAGTTAATCGAGTGTTGAGAGCTTTTAAGACTCCTGTCCTAGAAAACTAGCACTGATTTATACAAGCGGTTAAAACCTTTGGATCACACCACCAAAAAAGGGAAACTATTTCCAGTGTGGCGTTGCCCAGTACATGTGTTTATTGGAAAAGCGACTGAACAGAAGCCAAAATAATCTCCTGAGAACTGGCTTTAAACAAGCAAATTATGAACAAAATAACAGTTAAAAATCTTGAGGTAAGAACCAGTGCAATATTTAAACTGTTCAGTTTTACTATCAGACTCGTCAGTGTCTGAAGAGATACCACTTGAAAACATAAAGTTTCATTTGTCTCTGCAAATTCCAACTCGCAGTATTCTCAGATATTTATCTCTTCAACATTAATACCAATCGTTATTTTCCTTTTCTAAATTCAGCCTCTTTGTTCCATACAACAACAGAAAAAAACCTGAACCTGTAGCTGTTCCATATCCTAGACATCCATTATTTTTAATTGCTGATGTGAAGAATGTAACAATATTGGTATACAGGAGGCCAAGCTGCTCTTTGCTTGGTATTTCTCATATTGACTCATCATACGTGAGTCACTGTGTGTAGGTTCTTGGGTCCTTCCCCCATCTCCATAGTTTGATACTAGTTGTGGTTTAGTTTAATAAAATTTTAAGGCAATTTTTTAATCTCAAGAGTTCCTGCATGTGCAGCTTGTACTGTTGTATCACAGGCTGCTTGGGGCAACCTTCAGTTTCACTCTTCATTGTTTGTTTGCTGTTTCTAAGGAAAGGAGTATTATCTGTAAAATGAGTCTGAATGGGTCTTTGTTCTTCCTTTTTCCTTATGAATCTAATAGAAAAATAACCCTTCGAATTAATATTTGGGTTTTATTTTTTAACCTGGCAATATTTTTTAAGTAGACACACTTTTCAGATAAAGGATAAAAGCAAGTAGGTTTGTGTGTATTTTCCCTTGGCTTTGTGTGTCTGTACAACAGACTTCGTTTTAACAGCAGATTTACTATAGCACTCCCTTCAGCTTCGTGTGTTTCATACCTTTACCAGCGCAGTTCATTTAAGTGTTTCATATTTGGTTTTTAAGCTGTGAAAAAAGGCTCTCTGCAATTACAGTGTTTGAGGTAGTTTAGCAAACTGGTAGCAACAGTGTGCCTAAATAATACTCTATCTGTATTGGCTTTCTGGCTCTCACAATGCCTTGGTATATGTCTAGACAACAGATTCCTAGATAACAAATTCCCTGTAAGGTAGATTAAGTTTTAAAGCTTGTGGAAAACGCCAAGGGAGTACTGTATTGCAAAAAGCTGAATTTTTACTACTCCTTTTGCTGAAAAGGTTCAAGGATAGGACAAAAGAATATTTTTGTCCTACATGTATTTTAATACGTACCAGTTCATACTGATAACTTGTAACTTCTCTGGAGTTTTCAGTTTGTACTGTGGTTCCTATTATAAACATTCATCAGCAGTTCGTTCCAGAAAGAGGATAATCCTTTCTGTTGAGAAGCACTATAGAAAGGAGAACTGAAAATAGCGAGCACTTAAGTGTAGAGGAGTAATTCAGTTGAAAACTTGAAGAAACTACTACATTGTGTGCCAGAGAAGAAATGGAAACACTGATAAGTTGATTTGGATTGTAAAGATGAAGGCTTAGAAGATATTGAACTTTGGGACTTTAAATACCAGGATTTAAATAAAATGTGTGACATGAAACATGGCTGGTACTCCATGTGGAGAAGGGTCAAAGGTGGATAGATCAGAGCAGCATAAAATAACTGTAGTAATAGTGTTTGGAGTGTGCTTGTAAATGAAATATTATTATAATAATTACGATATGGAAAAACATGGTGAATTCCTACAGATGTGTCTTGCGGTGTCAATCATTTATTCTCTAGGGAAATCGTGTAATTTCCAAAGAAACGTAGTCTGTATTAACATGAGTGTTGTGAAGAAGCTGTGTGCATTTGTGAACAGTTTCATTGATTTAGTAGGATAGCTTCCTGAAATGATGTATGAACATAAGACATAAAAAAAATAATACATAACTATGTCCACTGCTTCCTTATATTCCCCAAGTATTATGTTGCCATAAGGTACTTGTTAAATTTGCTAATAATACGGTTTGAGTGAGAAAACACTAACTTATCCCATTATTCAAAATGCAACTAGATGGTAAAGTAGCAGATAACACATCAGCTCTAGAACATTATAAATGAAAATAATCGTATTTAATACAAAGCATATATATATTTGGGTGTTCTAATAGTTTCTTTTGATATTGCAGGAAACAGCATACTCCATTCAGCAGCAGACAGTGTGACAAGTGCAGTACAGAAGGCAAGTCAGGCTTTGAATGAGCGTGGCGAAAGGCTTGGTCGAGCAGAAGAAAAGACAGAGGAGCTGAAAAACAGTGCTCAGCAGTTTGCAGAAACTGCACACAAGGTAAGATTTTGGTGGGATAAGGCTCTCAGTAGGTTAAAGTCACATATTCCTTTATTTTGAGAGGAGGAAGCTTGAGAAAGAATTGCAGTCAGTCACTGGTTACAAACAGCTTGCTGTTTTCCTTGATACTGTTCCTCCCTTGGCAGATTTCTGGTTTATAACTTCTGTGCATAGATCTGAGGTTTGCTGCATTTCCACTTGAATTGAAACTACCTATATTCACCTTCCCGAAGCATACTTCACATCCATCTTCCCACTACTGTTTGGTACTATTCCTCATACTTTGTGCAGCACTGTAGTGAAATTGCTGTTAATCCCCTTTGATAAGCAGTCATAGGTCTGTGACTGTTTCTGAAGACGTATCTTTTTATGTCTGGAAATATTATTTATGAGGATTTTGGGGAATTGTTCCGTCTCGGGAATGTGCGGGCATTCCCTGGTTTTGGTGGAAGGTGTTGATAGTACTGTGCCTGTTGCTTCTGCATATGCATAACAGTGCTGAGCTTCCATCTCTGTGACCAATTGTAGGCATCCACAGCATAAGACTTGGTGGCTGTGTAACACATCCACAGTAGACAGAGTGCTTTTCAAAGAAAAAAGTAAAAGTTTTCTGAACGTGAGCAACCATTTTAGCATGCAAGTTTGATAGTTTTGCTGCTTAGCACAGCCTAGGCTTTATCAAACTTCTGCCAAAAAATGCCTGGCTACTGTATTAACACTAGAAATCCTGGATTGATATCTTGCAGTTGTATACAAGCCTCTGTCTTATGTAGTCTTTAAAATGTGACAAAACAATTTATTTTGATATTTACTATGATAATCCTGTACTGTGTGGTCCATTTAGATTAGCATGCTTCAGCTTAGTGGCCTGAGTGTGGTATGAGCCTGCTCTTGAACTCTTCTAACACCACCACCTTTCCAACACCACTCTTCCCCAGTGATGATAACTATGCCTAACTAACGACTTAGAAAACCAACCTCAAACAGCAGCTACCACTACTTCTAGGATAGGGGCCAAAAGGTTTGCTGCTGTAGAATAAAGCATAGATTGCTGCTTGGTAAGGAACTAAAAAATGAAAAATGCCTCTGATAGTTGGGCCGCTATGACTCTTGATTAAGATTTGGATAGGTTTGATTAGCGTGTGTTGCCCTTTCATCTTCCACATGTGCAGAACAGCAGTTCCACCAGATGAAGACATGCTGCGAACAGGAACAAATCTTTTCAACATGTTCTATTAGGAAAATATTATTTTAAAAATCTTAGAATTAAAGAATGCAGTATTGTAGTAAAAATACCATCTTTGATAGCCTGTGTTGTACCATATTTAGAAATGAAAGTTTACAGAATCCTGTAATAATTCAAAGTAAGAATTGGAGGGAAACATAACAGGAATGCTGGAGAAGCTAAAAATATCCACAATACAAGTATTTTATTTTTTAATCAAATGGAAAAATTCTCAGTCAGAATTTTGTACATAGTCATTTGAGTTTACATGTCTCTGTGGCAGTAAGTGAACAGTTTCTGCAGGAAATGTCAAAGTGATGCGGAACAGGAAAGGATAATCTCCATTTGGATTGTGTGCTGGGCTGAGATTTATGAAACCTTCCTGCCAGTCCAGTTCTACAGATTCCCAGTCTTCCCCAGATGAGTGTGAGGCCATATGCTGTTGAAGCCAACCCAGTTACCAGCTGGCTGAAACAGGAGTGTGACAGTCTTTCAGTGGACGATAGTTAAGGATTTGTAATAAACACTTGGGTTTTGTCTTTTTAACAAGAAAATAACATCTTTGTGTTTGAAGAAAACAAATAAGAGTTTAGTTGCTAGAGGACCGCAAATGACTACTTGTCATCATAAGGATAATTCAGTAAAATGGGGTTTACAATATTTTTTTCTTGCAAATTTTTCTGTATTGGTGCCCCAAGTCTTGAATTATATCACAGAGGTGCAGTAGTCCTGCAGTGCCTCTACTGTTATGTCACAAAAATGCATATGGCAGCCACCCAGGAATGTATTTGGTTAGAGAGACTTGTTTTATGGTGGTGTGCTTTGGTTTGCAAGAAAGGATTTTTTGGGTTTTGTTTGAGCATTTAGGAATAAGTACAGTACTGTTTATTATTATTATTAATATTCCTCTGGTTAAGCCTTTGGGGGGCAGCTGCTACTCAGATTTTAGATGTTGTTTGTACAAATAAGAAAACATATTACTCTGGTGAAACCAGGAAAGCAGGTCCAGCTGAGTCTTGCTTAAATAGCAAATTTGTAACTTTCTGGCAAAACAGCAACAGTGAAGAGAAAGGCACCAATTTTAACTTACTAGTATTTGTGAACACTTTATGCAGCAAAGTGAAGTTCCCATTTTGGTTGTTATATACTTGCCTTCAGTAGAACAGTAAAAATACTTTGAATTATTGTCAACCCATAATTAATTTCACCACTGCAGTATCATAACTGGATACAGATTTCTCTTACAGCTCAATTTGTCTGTCGGGACATTACTTGGGCAACAAAAAGGAGGAGTTGAAAGCGGTTATGCATCTGCAAATCTATGATATAGTAGCGATCATAGAAACCTAGTGGGATGACTTTCACAACTGGAGTGCTGCAATGAATGGCTATACAGCCTTCGGAAAGGATAGGCAAGGAAGCAGCCGCAGTGGGGTAACCCTGTGTGTTAGGGAGTATTTTGACTGTCTAGAGCTTGACAACAGTAATGATAGGATTGAGTATTTACGGGTAAGAATCAGGGGAAGTGCCAACAAGGTAGATATCATGGTGGGAGTCTGTTACGGGCCACCCAATCAGGATGATGATGTAGATGAAATGTTCTATAAGCAGCTGGGAGAAGTCTCACAATCACTAGCTCTTGTTCTCATGGAGGACTTCAACTTAGCAGATGTCTGCTGGAAATACAATACAGCAGAGAGGAAAGAGTCTAGCAGGTTCCTGGAGTGTGCGGAAGCTAACTTCCTGACACAGTTGGTGAGGGAGCCAACTAGGGAGGGTGCCCTGCTAGACCTGTTGTTCGCAAACAGAGAAGGATTTGTGAGTGATGTGAATATGGAAGCCATCTTGGGCATAGCGATCATGAAATGATAGTTTTTGATTCTCAGAGAAGTAAGGAGGGGGGTCAGCAGAACTACCTCCTTGGAAATCCAGAGGGCAAAATTCTTTAGCCTGCTTATGAGGTTGGTTGACAGAATCCCCAGGGAGGCAGTCCTGAAGGGCAAAGGAGTCCAGGACGACTGGACATTCTTCAAGAAGGAACTCTTAAAGGCACAGGACCAGGCTATCCCTGTGTGTCAAAAGACAAGCTGGTGGGGAAAAAGACCTACCTGGCTGAACAGAGACCTTTGGCTAGAACTCAGGAAATAAGAGTTTATTGCCTTTGGAAGAAGGGACAGGCAACTCAGGAGGACTACAAGGAAGTCATGAGGTTATGCAGGGGAAAAATTAGAAGGGCCAAAGTCCATCCAGAACTTAAACTGGCTACCGCCATAAAAGACAACATTTTTTTTTTTTCTGTAAATAAATTAGCAATAAAAGGAGGACTAAGGAGAATCTCCATCCTCTATTGGATGTGGGAGGAAACATACAAGGATGAGGAAAAGGCTAAGGTACTTAATGCCTTCTTTGCCTCAGTCTTTAATAGTAAGACCGGTTGTCCGGGTACCCAGCGCCCTGAGCTGGATGACAGGGATGGGGAGCAGAATGAAGCCCCCATAATGCAGGAGAAAATGGTTAGCAACCTGCTACACCACTTAGACACACACAAGTCTATTGGGCTGGATGGGATCCACGCACAAGTACTGAGTGAGCTGGCAGAAGTGCTCACCAAGCCACTTTCCATCAGTTATCAGCAGTCCTGGCTAACCGCGGAGGTCCCAGTTGACCGGAAGTTAGCAAATAAGACACCCATCCACAAGAAGTGCTGGAAGGAGGATCTGGGAAACTACAGCCCTGTCAGTCTGAGTCTGGCCTCAGTGCCAGCAAGAGTCATGGAGCAGATCATCTTGAGTGCCGTCATGTGGCATGTACAGGACAACCAGGCGATCAGGCCCAGTGAGCATGGGGTTATGAAAGGCAGGTCCTACTTGACTAACCTGGTCTCCTTCTATGACAAGGTGACTCACAAGTGGACGAGCGTAAGGCTGTGGATTTTGTCTTCCTAGACTTTAGTAAACTTTTTGACATCGTTTCCCACAGCATCCTCCTGGAGAAACTGGCTGCTCATGGACTGGACAGGCATACACTTCACTGGGTAAATACCTGGCTGGATGGTTGGACCCAACGAGTTGTGGTGAATGGAGTTAAATCCAGTTGGCGGCCAGTCACAAGTGATGTGACCCAGGGCTCAGTATTGGGGACAGTTCTATTTAACGTTGTTATCAATAATCTGGACAAGGGGATTGAGTGCACCCTCAGTAAGTTTGCAGGCAACACCATGTTAGGTAGGAGTGTTGATCTGCTTGAGGGGTAGGATGGCTCTACAGAGTGATTTGCACAGGCTGGATTGACAGGCCGAGGCCAATGGTCTGAGGTTCAACAAGGCCAAGTGCCAGGTCCTGCATTTGGGTCACAACAACCCCATGCAGCGCTACAGGCTTGGGGAAGAGTGGCTGGAAAGCTGCCTGGTGGAGAAGGACCTGGGGGTGTTGGTCAACAGCCAGCTGAATATGAGCCGGCACTGTGTCCAGGTGGCCAAGAAAGCCAACAATATCCTGGCCTGTGTCAGGAATAGTGTGGCCAGCAGGACTAGGGAAGTGATTGTCCCCCTGTACTCAGCACCGGTGAGGCCCCACCCTGAGCACAGTGTTCAGTTTTGGGCCCCTCACTAGAAGAAGGACATTGAGGTGCTGGAGCACGTCCAAAGAAGGACAGTGAAGCTGGTGAAGGGTCTGGAGAATAAGTCTTGAAGAGTGACTAAGGGAACTGTGGTTGTTTAGCCTGGAGAAAAGGAGGCTGAGGGGAGACCTTAACATTCTCTACAGCTATCTGAAAGGAGATTGTAGAGAGGTGGGGGTCTGTTTCTTCTCCCAAGTAACAAGCCATAGGACAAGGGAAATGGCCTCAAGTTGCACCAGGAGAAGTTTAGATTGGATATTAGGAAAAATTTCTTCACTGAAAGAGTTACCAAGCATTGGAACAGGCTGCCCAGGGAAGTGGTTGAGTCACCATCCCTGGGGGTGTTTAAAAGTCATGTAGATGTGGTGCTTAGGAACGTGGTTTAGTGGGGGACTTGACAGTGCTAGTTTAATGTTTGGACCTGATGATCTTAAAGGTCTTTTCCAACCTAAATGAGTCTATGATTATCCTTCAGCTACACGTCAGGTTATTTTAAGGTGTAAAACATGTAATGGAGACAGCGGAAGATGCATGGCATAGGAATGCTCTTTCTAAGATCTTTAAAAAACGCCTTAGTCACCTGTTAAAAATAAATAAATCCCACTTAATTTGCACAAGAAACAATAGCACTCACAGAGCGCTTTTGTTTTGGCTTTCAGAGTTCGGTTTTGGTTGTGTAAGGGCTGGAACTTACCTTCTTCACGTTCTTTGTTTGCCTCCGAAAAAAAAATCCCTTGCCCTTCTTCATGACTGCACAGGAGCTCAGACTTAAGGATTCTGTATAATAAAAACCTGTTGTCAGACTTGCCTGCTAAAGACACATTTTTGTGAAAAAAAAAATCTTGTTTGAGGTGAGAAAGAAAAGTGTTGGTTGGAGTTCTTTCATGTTGGAATGCATTTCCAGTATATATCTACAAATAATTTTTTTAAATGGCATATTTGTGACCAGGTCCTTCAGTATCAAAGTGTCAGTTAAATTTGAGTTGCTTACTGAGCAGCATTGCGCTGGTAGCAAATGAGGAAATTTTAACTGCCCCTACCAGTTCTGGTTTTTAGGGAACTTCCTAGAGGGTTCCCTCATCTCAGCTTTGTTAGCGTGCTCTTAAAGGTCCAGATACCAATTTTTTAGATACCAATTTTTTTATTATACAGAGCCTAAAACTAAGTTCTCTGCTTGGCTTGCCAAAGTCAGTCTATGCTTTTTATACAGGATTTAACTCACTTTAGCTCTTTCGTCTCCCTCTCATTCCCAGTTTTAAGTCCATTTTTGAATTATTTGAAATAGAAATAATCAGTAATCACAGAGGTAGAAAGGCAATCAGTCCTTAATTTTTCATCATTATGTAGTGGTTGAGCTTCTGAACAGGTGTTTTAAGTTACTTGTCTAGAATTTCTGATTGTATTTAGCAATCCAGGTCATTAAGTCTAAATAACTGTTCTTTTGAGCATGTCTTTGTTTCTTACGTCTTGCTCTAGCCCTCCTCACAGATAGCAAAATAATGGAACATTGGGAAACACAGCTATGAAAGCAGATCAATCCTGCCTCCTCGGCATAGCCAAGGAAAACTTTGCCTATCTGTCACAGTAAAGGGAACGACTGCATATCTGTGTGCAAAGAACTTATGGATTTCATGCATCTTTGGAGAATTCAGTTTACAAACTCGTCTGATTCAGATGAGCCACACTGGCTCGATATAGCTGTTGTTACATATGATCTCTCTTTAATTCATTTTTTTCTTTATTTTTCAGCTTGCCATGAAGCACAAATGCTGAGATACTGCCCAAAGTAGAAATCTTCCCGAGAGAAACTGAAAAGGCTACGTTCAGCAACTTTTACAGGAGATCCAGACTTCTGTGTGCTTTTTTCTTCCAGTTCAGTGGAGATGCATTCTTTCAGTTTCTGTGCAGGAAAAAGTGTTGCATTTCTACCTTTTTGACTTACTTTTGTTCCTCTTTTGTAATATTGCTACACAGTCCTGCAGTACTTTCTACCTGTATTTCAGTTGTTACAGGAGTGAAAGCAAACAGGGAAACTGGACCAAATGACAAGCTGATCAGGATTAAAATAGTAATATTCTTCCCCAGTTGTCCAGAAAATTCTTTAACTGGTTGTGGACATATGTGTGGAAATGAAATCCAAAGAAGGGGTATACTTTTCTCCATTTTATGTAGCATCAGCAGAATGTGAATGTTGGAATTAAACACCTGGGGTTGTAACTGTAGTGGAGAATAGACTGCTTTGTCCTGGGAAACAGAAAAATTTGTTTCTTCTGCCTAGTGTAGGAGGTTTTGCATGTGCCATCACCAGCATTCAGAAGTGCATATCTGAATTTCATAGGGGAATCTGGTACCAGTGCTGCATTTTGAATATTCCTATTTTCCCTTCTGGATTGATTATTTGAATAGTATAGTGAAACCTACAGAATGTACGCTTGAGGTTTCAAAATTGAGGAAAAAAGTAATTTTTACATCTATACACACATAGCTGTGCCTCAAACACAATCTAGAATTTAGCAATCTGGTATAAAATAACATTTCATTTTCTTGTTACCTGTGATTCTGTGGCTAAAGGCCTATGTAAATGAGAATGCAAAGGCCTGAGAAAATGAGAATGCACTATTTTCAAAGTCATCCATTTTTCATAAGTTCTACAGTAAGAATTTTTGTGAACACTTCAGAAATTTATCTGATTAGAATGACTTTTGTGTTAGCTAGTTGTCTGATTTTTAATATAGAGGCTTTCAAAAAGCATGTCTTGGTACATTAGAAACATAATTTCTAGTTTGGGTCTCAATTTTCAATATATATTGTCACTGGAAGGGTGACTCCCTACTTCATTCTGTATTCACTATGTGCAATATGTGCACTGTATTCTCTTACAAAAATAAGTAGATCACTTTTCCTTCACAGCTGTTTTCTTAACATTTTTAAGATGTTCTAATATGCTTTTAGAATGAAGAGGAAAAAAAAAAAAAAATGCTGCACTTTTTTTTTTTCCCCCAAACCAGTAAGCTAGAAACAGGAATCCTAGCTGAAGTTTCAGCCTTCATCTTCTGAAGATGCCTGCTCTTCATTTTTTTCCTCATCTTACCGGAGAGCCAGAAAGCTGGCATTATATGAATGTACTGTAGTTCTAATTTTCAACGTAGAATAAGATTTTTGCATTATTAATGACACTTTAAGCAGTCTAAAATCATCAGAGCAGTGCTTGTAAAAGAGATAAAAGCTTCTGTAGTAATGGAGAATATTTAAGTTACTGCAAGCTGAAGTAACTGAAAATCTCTTGGAAATACCCATTTTGTAAAAAGATGCTTGGCTTTAGAAAAAACATTTGCATTTGAACTAAGGACACTGTCTAGCTAACTGATTGCATTCAAACTTTACATCTTTATGTTGGTTTGGGTTTTTTTTCCTGTAATTTAAACTGTTTTGTATGAAGCTCTTTATTTAATCTCACACTGGGAATTGAGAGAGGGGGTCAATTTTTCATCTGTCTAGTACCATATAATCATTTAGATCTATTTAGCATCAGGTCTAACAGTTACTGCATCCAGCACCATCAACTGAAAAGGAATTTGGCCTCATCTGTTATAAATCAGAACAGGCCTATTAACAACATGGGTTCTGAACACTCCGAGCCATGTACAATTAATGCCTGCCCTGGAAATGTCAGTAGCTTTCTGAGTGCTATTGTAATGACTATGGGTATTTCTGCAAATTAACCGGGAAAACAGTCCCTCGTTGGAAATTAAACTTCTGCTAGAGATAAAATGTTAGGCTATTTTTTTAAAAATAGCTGCTTTAGAAATCAGTCAGGGAGTGCATTTTTGACCACATAGCTGTCTTCTGTCGTCATCTTTTTCACCTTTAAGTATATTCTGCTAACCTCACAAGTCTTTCTCTTGAGAGAAAGAAGTAATAGGTTTTGAACTGCTGCCATCTAGCTGGTCTTCTAAGCTTGTCAATAATTTAAAATAAATGTGTAGAAACCAGATCAGATAAAGCTGAAAAGAATTAGTTGTCTAAACTCAGAAATAAAAGGCATAAGTTTTCAGGTGTTTACATGAGTATCAGCTGGACAGGACAAGGTCATAGTTGCACTGCTAAGTTCCAGACCTTTTGTGAGTTGAACTGTTCTAAAACATTACTTTAGTCCCACTGACAGTTTTTCAGCATTTTTTTTTTTTTTTAGTATCCTCCAGTTAAGTGTATTATGTTATGTATCATAACTCAGGACTTTTATCCAACCATCAAAAGCCATTTACTATGGGAATTCTAAATAACCTAGTGTTACTGAATGAAGGAAAAGCAGTTTGTCTGTGTTTACTTTGTTCTTGCTGTTTGTTAAACTACAAGATTTGGTAGTTTTTAGAAAAAAAAAAAAAACAGAGGTGTATAAATGTCTATCCAAAGGTAAATCTTATAGCATTGCAACTTCCTTCTGGAACTTAGCTTGTAGTGTATACAACCTAGTATTATTAGATAGTCATGTACATAACATATGCTATAATTCAGGTTAATGTTTCATATGAAAGAATGTATTTGTAAATTGTAACAACATCAATAGTTTCTTTATCTTTTTAAAGTTCTGCAAAGAATAAAAATAATGTATTGTTAGACTTGACTACTGTACTGCAAACTGTCTTAAAAAAGGCTACTTTTGTGTCTAGCAAAAGTTGTGCATTATGTGAAATATTAACAAAAATGTGCTCTCTAAAAAGTGATCTTAAAGGTAGGTAGGTTTTGCTATGATATGCCAGAATTGTAATACTTGCTGGTAGCTATTGTAACCAATTCCTGGAAAGTTCTCAAAGATGTAGAAATTATTTTGTGCCATTCCGGGGGGAGAAAGTGGGACCTGCTCTCTTGAGTCATTACTGGAAACCCTGATTTTGTCATTAAATACTTTAACTGTGATGAAAAGAAAACTGTCCTTGGATTATTTGAGTGGTCTGTTAAAAAAATATAAGTTATTTGTAAATGACGTTTTTATCTCTCACTCTATCGGAATTATATTTCACCCTAGCAAAACTGAATAAAATTAGTTTCCTCTCTAATGATGAAAACTTTCTCCAGAAAGAACACTGTAATTAAAAAAGAAGTGATGGGAACGAGGTTGAAGGATTTCTTGTCCAAGCAGATTCCAGACAACAGTTAACACAGGTTTAATTTAGCATCCTACCCTAAAGGCTGTACAGGTTAAAAAGAACTACGCTGTTAATTTGCTTTCCATTTGCTATGAAATGCTTAGTCTCAAATTATTACTGTTTTCTTTTGGTCATCTAATTTTATTGATACTTTTTTATCAAAACAAAAGCAATTTTAATTGCCCTAAGGGAATAATATTATAAAGGTAGAATTCTTCTACACACAGGGAAGCAATCCCATGTATTCAAATGAGGGCCACTTGCAGAAGAATCTTATTGAATATGAACTGACTTTGCTACCGTCTCTTTTTTTCGGACTTAAACGTGGTCCCTAAGATCCTGATCTCAGAAATGTCGTGTTGACAGATACTGTCAACTAGCAATTACTTTCATTACTATCTAAATTTTGCTAGAATGCATGTCATCCATCCGATGTTGAATGCCATATGTGCCCAATGCCAAATTGTGTGAAACTTTTAGTAAAAACAAATTAGATCTCTGGCGGATCAGAAGCAAACAATGCAACAGCATTCTGTTGTAGTTTACACATAATAATTTGGCAGTTCTTTTCCATTGTTATTGTACATTCATTCTGTAAGGATAGAAAAGGAAAATGGTTCATTTTCTGAGCATTTTTATAGATCAGTGTCACCATGTTGGCATTTTTTTCTTGATCTTATGATTTTCATAAATCATCAGCTTAATCTGCTGCAGTGTATAATTTATGATAAAGATGATGGGGTTTGTTGTTATCTTTGAGTCATAGAACAGGCTCGGGAATGAATGTTCACTGATTCAATATATTAGGATTTCTAAGTAAAAGATAAGCTAGTTTAAGTGTGTTGGCGAATGTTGTTGCTGCCACACTCCTGAAGGCATAATGTTTGACTGAGAAAATCAAACTAAGATGCCAGTCGCCTTCAGCTGCAAGTCGCAATGTCAATGAAGGTACGCACTACTTCAAGTAGTGAGCAGATCAGTAGACCTACCCAGTACTCGCTGAAGATTGCAATGTCTCAGATTAAAAATTGCTTTAATTTTTCTCAAAATTAGACCCTCATGGAAGCTGCCAGCTACCAGTGGGGTAATGACATGAACTTACATAAACACTAATTTTTCCAAGGATTGTGAAACCTCAGCATCCACTTCATAGCTCATCATTTCCGCTTGTTTTGTGCATCATCTGGAAGCACTGTGTGGTATTTTATATATGTTTCAATTGTACTTTTTTATTATTATTTGACTTGTTACTATCTTTTTGTCTGCTCTCACCTCATGCAATCCAAATGGTGGTAACATTTTTAAATAGATAATTAATGTGATGGTGTCTAGCTTTGGCAGAGGTTGATGAGGGATTGCAGGCACAAAAAGTACTATTTATTTTCACAACGACTGAGTAACTCTAAACTGAGTGTAAAGATACTGTTACATGGAGGCATATGGCAGATCTTCTGTGTTAAGGCCAAGCATTCAGGGTATAAAAGGGTATAAAAATAAGGTTGTTAGCTAGGGAAGTCAGACGGTTTTAGAAGTGTAGAGAATAGACATCTAACAAAATTCTAATTGAAATTTTTAAACAATTTCAGAGGTTTCTGGTAGCTAAAATAACTTTCGCGGAGCAACTAAAGTTCAAGCCTGTATTTTGTTGAAATTCTTTTGCTGCTTAAGATTGGAGGACAGTTTTCTTCTGTCTTAAGTGTTCTGTTCTGGATAGAACAGAAAGGAAATATGATCAAAATAAACCAGAGTTTTTTATAGTGTTTCATACTATATCAAAAAGTAAATCTTTAATATATGCAACTAACATTAATCAACACACGTGTTTTCAGACAAGTCAGTGAGTTGGGGTTTTTTTCCTATTTCAGAAAGAAGAGCTACAGTAAAGCTTTCTTTGGATTAGCATGATCAGCAAATAAGGATTTCTAGAAAAAGCGCATTTACGTGTGGGAATTAAGATTTTAATGAGAATCCCGCCTTCTAAAAACTTTACTAGTTTTATTAAACCATTTATGACAGCTGTGAGATCCTTGGTGTTGTAGGTATGGTTGGCACTCTGATAGAAGGCATTTAGCTTTAATAATACATCGCTACATTAGTTTGTTTGAGGCTTGGAAAACAATTTAGCTCAGTCAGAAGCTTCCTAATATTGCGCTTTAGGGATAAGGAAGCGTAAGCACTGTTTGTGCTGCGAATCAGCAGGGGCTGACTTCTGAGGTGAGGGTGGGCAAGATGAGGGAAGGGTTGGAGACTCCTGGGTCACCACGTGAGGAAGTCAGAAGAGGTGATGAAGTCAGG